TTAAATATTAAAAAAATTCACAACGGGGACAAAATGGCCCGAACTTTAATTCAAACTCGCGGGAGATTCGGCACGAAAATTGTATGTCAAAATTATTTGAAAATATAGTTAAATTGGGGCCATAGCCATGTAAGCATGTTGTTAGTGTTGAATATGAATGGTTAAATAAGTTGGTCATGATCTGTATTTTGACGTTTTGTCTGACAAGTTTCAAAAGAGTAGTTGCGTTTTAGACACAAAAAGTGTCTACCATCCTTATACCTAAAATACTACGTTTTTACTATAAGTTTACAAGAAATTTAATATAATAAATGTCACATTATAAAAAGCAATCAAAATAGTTTTCTTGCCAAATTTTTTAATTACACTATGCTATAGTAAAATGTTGTTTAAATAATTAAATAAAGTAGATAATATTTTACACATATCACACCATGGTGTATTTAATGGTACCATTTTATAGTAGTGTAATTGATTAATCACTAAACGGTAAGATAGCCACTTATCTGTCTTGCAGCTTGGTGCTTATGGGTAGGTAGATTTTAAAAAATGTTTTTGTCATAAGCAACATATTAAATTGAGGGGTATACCTTATATATAAAAGTAAATCCATTAATCTTCACTTTTTGGAGAAATTGGGTTAATGGTGCTATCTTTATGTTCATATCTAGAATGCCACAAAATATTTTGTAGCAAATCCCTCAATAATATATCTATATTTTATGTTAAAAATGGTGTTCAGTAACTATTGCAAAACCAGCAATCTCCATATATGGAGCTATAGCTCCGAGTGTACAAAACCACAATTTCCATTTCGAACACATGCATTGCAATCTGTTTTACCATTAAATGCCGGTAAGTAAAGGTTGATAAAAAATATGTTTAAAAAATCCCTTGTATTAAATCATGATTTTTAATAACAATTTTGACCAAAAGTGTGTGCATTTTACACTGTTAAAAATTTCTATCTCCACTTTAGAATAGAAAATATGAAGTTTAATGCCTAATTGTGTAAGTAATATTACTGTAGTAATATTGTATTTTTCCTTTTTATGAGTTGATCTTGTAAATTAACAACAAAAATACTAAGAAAATAATTAAATTATGATAAAACAAATTAATTAAATAAAAAAAGAAATAAACAAATTTGCGATAACAATTATTTTACGGTTTATCATTACAAATTACAAATACATTCTTGTTCGCTAAAGTTTCTAAAACAAATATTTTAAGTAAAAGAATACCTAAACTAAATTATTGTATAATTTAATATATGATATTTTATATTATATAGGGTGGTCCAAAAGAAACCTTTAAAAATATGGAAATTAACAAAAAGCCATAAAATAATATTAATTTTATTGACAAACTTAAATCAAAAACTCATCAGTTTCGAACATATTTTGTTTAAAAAAAAATAATTTGTCCTAAACTAAGGAACATATATTACTGAAATTTTGTATACATACAAAATTTCAGCTAAGCATTAAGTTCATTTTCATATCATATCTCTTTTTAGCCAATGATCTAATCATTTTTTAACATTTCTGTTGATGTTCGACGTAAAAAGTAGAATTTTAATAATAAATTTATTCTTTTGCTAGTTTAAAGAAACCATAAAATTAAAAAAAAACAGAAAATTTGATCTTAATCAAACTTTGACCTCGAATAACTCTAGAAGAATTCAATTTATCGAAAAATAAGAAAAGAGCTTTTTTGTAGAGCGTTACATTTTATATAAAAAATATTTTTTCCCATGTTAATTAAATGGGAAACTAAAATAAAAACATCGACCTCTTAGAGTTGAGCTGGAACGCCCAAATTTGGTGAGGATTTTTTTTATATTAAATAGAAACATTTGAGAGGGTAAGAGCGAAAAAAAAAATTGAATTTTATTTTTTGAAGCACCCTAGTGTTTATATATACATTGCTTTAATGCAGCCGTTAAGAGAAACCAATTAAATGTCCTATTTAGGTTATCAATACCAGTAATGAATTTGAAGGACAACTTGAACACAGGATCAAAAATGTATGATGATAACCGGTCGAAAGGTGATCTTAAAGGCGTGGTAGAATCAAAATTTACCCGCAACTGACATTTCAATTTGCAATCGGTGGTAATTTCTTAAAATCGTATAAAAAGGTGGTTAATTCTGCAAAACTGTATCATTTGTAGTCAAATCATCCTACAAAATGGCATTTAAGGTATAAGTAACAAGTGTATTGATTTTATTGTGTACTAAAAATACTTATTTTTTCAGTTTGTAATCTTGACAACTCTTTTGGCTGCTGCTCATGCTGGTTTAATCGGAGCACCGATTGCTACGACATACTCAGCAGGAATTGCTCCTCTATCCGGTCAATTGTTGAGATCTGCTCCGTTGGCTTATGCCACCCCAATCGCCCGCCAAGTAGGCGCCCCGGTGGCCCTTGCCAAGACCGTTGTCCAAGAAGAATACGACCCCAACCCCCAATACTCTTACGGTTACGACGTACAAGACTCCCTAACCGGAGACAATAAGAACCAATACGAAAACCGCCAAGGAGACGTAGTTCAAGGAAGTTACTCACTCGTAGATGCTGACGGACTCCGCCGTACCGTCGACTATACCGCCGATCCAATCAACGGATTCAACGCCGTCGTACGCAGAGAACCTCTGGTAGCAAAAGCCGTTGTTGCCGCTCCTACTATCGCCAAAGTAGCCACCCCAATCGCTAGATTTGCGGCTCCCTTGTCTTACTCCGCTCAACTCGCACCTCAGTTGGCATACTCGGCTCCAATTGCCAAAGTAGCCGCTCCTTTGGCCTATTCCACCTCCGTGTTGCACTAATTTGTTAATTGAATTTATTTATTTGTAATATACCTAGTTTGGCAAAATATTTGTTTATTCTTTGACACTACCATTTTTAATTTAATTGCAAGTTTGCTAATATAAAACTTATATTTGAATCAGAGTTTGAATTAACACTGTTCTCGTTAAGTAAATAATGCAGGAGAAATGATTTATTATTGCATTGCTACTTAGAACTGTATAAACATTGAAAAAAAGAAAATAGCAAAATATCAAAAATATACTAAAAACCAAAATAATCATAAAAATAGTTATTTATGTTTATATTATTTAATATACCTATTCTTTGAAAATTACATAAAAATTAAAAGTTTAATTAACATTGATCATAATATTATATGATCCATATTATTTATAATAGTATATTATCATAATACATAGTATATTATCATAATAGATAATATTATTATGTATCACGATTTATAAACTCCATTTTAGTTACGAGTTTAATTAACGAGATAAGCTTGAGAGCGAGTGTTTAATAAAAACGAGTGTCTTTAGAAGTTTGTAAACGAGTTGCATACTATACTTTATCTACGACGAACAGAAAACAGAATTTAAAGCCAATTTTATTTGTTAAAAATTTGACATCTGTCAACTGCCACCCAATTTAACATCATTTTTTCCTAATTAAAACTAACTTCAGCCCGTCACTAAAAACATATTGCTAACTTCATCCCCTGACTAAAGCGCCATAAAGCCACAACTCAATGTGTTTTTAAAAGGTCACTTGGTGTCATGGAAACATGTACGATACTGGGCGTTTTAAAGGTGGGAGTGGAAAAATATTGTCATTTTGTTATTTAAAAGTTATTTTACCATTTTATTTTATAAGTGCATGAAGAAGACCTTCTGGGGCAGTAAGCCTTCTTTTTCCTTAGATTGTAAGGTAATTAGGCTATTGATTAAAATGAACTTATATGTTACCTAGTTTAAAAATTATTAATTTTTATATTTATAAATATAATTTTTTATTTATAAATATTAAAGTGTTTAAAAGTAAAAATATATTTTTTTTTCTATAAATTGCATAGATTAGATAGAAATAAAAAAAATCTGCGGAAACACCAAAACTCTTTTAAGAGATTTATCGAGCATTAAAACGAAAGAGAAGAAATATTAGTATTGTGTGTATTGCGCGACAAGTGGTAGAAAGAGGAGATTCCTCCAGCGTGAAGTTAGTTAACACGAGAGTGAAATTTCCTTTTTCGACCAATATTCGCACACAATATTTTATTCAACTACCGCAGTGTACCACCAGAAATATACATAAAAGTATAAAAACGAATTATAAACAATTAAAGAGCTAAAACAATTATGATAAAACACATTAATTAAATCAAAAAAGAAATAAACAAATTTGCGATAACATTTTTTTTAGGATTTATCATTACAAATTATATGAAATAAAAATACTTTTATACATGCTTGTTCGCTAAAGTTTCTAAAACAAATATTTTTAAGTAAAAGACTAAACTAAATTATTGTATAATTAAATATATAATATTTTACATTATAAAGGGTGGTCGAAAAGAAACCTTTAAAAATTTGATTTAATCATTTTTTAACATTTCTGTTGATGTCCAGTTGATTTAAGAAAACGTAAAAAGTAGAATTTTAAATAATAAATTTATTCTTAAGTAGTAATTTAAAGAAACAAATCAAACATGTTTATTTTTAAATAAACTATATTAAAATAAATGCTTAAAATTAAAAAAAGTACAACAAATTATTTTAGAACACAAACCTAAATTAAAATCATTAGAGGAATTCCTCGAAATGTCATTATTTGGACAAAGCAAACTAGATGGCATATGGGAAATATGATAAAATTTTATTAGAGTAAATTGGAATTGCAATTTTACTGTAAAAGGATACATTTTACGAAAGTTTTTTTTTCATAATTGTGAAATGGTTGTGTTTAAATGAAAATATTTTATTGTAAAATAAATATTATGTAACAATTTGTGTTTATATACATTGCTTTAATGCAGAGAAACCATTTAATTAAATGTCCTATTTAGGTTATTAATACCAGTAATGAATTTGAAGGACAACTTGAACACAGGATCAAAAACGCATGTTGATAACCGGTCCAAAGGTGATCTTAAAGGCGTGGTAGTATCGAAATTTACCTGCAACTGACATTTCAATTTGCAATTGGTGGTAATTTTTTAAAATCGTATAAAAAGGTGGGTAATTCTGCAAAACTGTATCATTTGTAGACAAATCATCCTACAAAATGGCATTTAAGGTATAAGCAACAAGTGTATTGATTTTATTGTGTACTTAAAATACTTATTTTTTCAGTTTGTAATCTTGACAACTCTTTTGGCTGCTGCTAATGCTGGTTTAATCGGAGCACCGATTGCTACGACATACTCAGCAGGAATTGCTCCTCTATCCGGTCCATTGTTGAGATCTGCTCCGTTGGCTTATGCCACCCCCATCGCCCGCCAAGTAGGCGCCCCGGTGGCCCTTGCCAAGACCGTTGTCCAAGAAGAATACGACCCCAACCCCCAATATTCTTACGGTTACGACGTACAAGACTCCCTAACCGGAGACAATAAGAACCAATACGAAAACCGCCAAGGGGACGTAGTGCAAGGAAGTTACTCACTAGTAGATGCTGACGGACTCCGCCGTACCGTTGACTACACCGCCGATCCAATCAACGGATTCAACGCCGTCGTACGCAGAGAACCTCTGGTAGCAAAAGCCGTTGTTGCCGCTCCTACTATCGCCAAAGTAGCCACCCCAATAGCCAGATTTGCGGCTCCCTTGTCTTACTCCGCTCCACTCGCACCTCAGTTGGCATACTCGGCTCCAATTGCCAAAGTAGCCGCTCCTTTGGCCTATTCCACCTCCGTGTTGCACTAATTTGTTAATTGAATTTATTTATTTGTAATATACCTAGTTTGGCAAAATAATTGTTTATTATTTGACACCACCATTTTTAATTTAAGTGCAAGTTTGCTAATATAAAACTTAAATTTAAATCAGAGTTTGAATTAACACTGTTTTCGTTAAGTAAATAATGCAGGAGAAATGATTTATTATTGCATTGCTACTTAGAACTGTATAAACATTGAAAAACAGAAAAAAGCAAAATAACAAAAATATAATAAAAACCAAAATAATCATTAAAATAATTATACAGTATGTCTCAGTATCTTGGAATCATATGGAAAACTTTTTTATTATTAATTTTAGGAAAAAAGTTATTCCTTATAAAAAGTTCTGCATGGTGTAAAACTTAAAATGCAACCCAAAAATATTAAATTGTTTTAGTCGTATACGGGGTATGTCATAAAATATTAATTTGGCTCAAGAGTAAAGTACCTTTATATTTGACAATATCGAAAATTGTTATAAAGAAAAGTTAATCAGAACTAAAAACTATGTTCAAATATGCAATTTCATCCATTTACATTAAAAAATTAGGTTTTGTTAATTTTTTTAATATTTCTATTTTAAATGAACATTTATCTGTTAAAATTGCAAAATTTTTAGAAAACATTTAGAAACGAAAAGGTTTTCATGTTTTTTGTAATCATAACACATAAATGTTCATTTAAAATAAAAAGATTAGTAAAAATTAACAAAACCTAATTTTTTAATGTAAATGGATGAAATTGCATATTTGAACGTAGTTTTTAGTTCTGATTAACTTTTCTTTATAACAATTTTCGATATTGTCAAATATAAAGGTACTTTACTCTTGAGTCAAATTCATATTTTATGACATACCCTGTATACGACTAAAAAAATTTAATATTTGCGGGTTGCAATTTAAATTGTACACCATGCAGAACTTTTTATAAAGAATATCTTTTTTTCCTAAAATTAATAATAAAAAAGTTTTCCATATGATTCCAAGATACTGAGACATACTGTATATATAAAAATTAAAAGTTTTAATTAACATGGATCATATCGAGGATCATAATAATGTATGTTATGTATCACGTTTTATAAACTCCATTTTAGTTACGAGTTTAATTAAGCACGAGATAAGCTTGAGCGAGTGTTTAATAAAAACGAGTGTCTAGAGAAGTTTATAAACGAGTTGCATACTATACTTTATATACGACGAACACAAAACAGAATTTAAAGCCAATTTTATTTGTTATAAATTTGACATCTGTCAATTGCCACCCGAATTTAACATAATTTTTTCCTAATTAAAACTAACTTCATCCAGTGACTAAGGCGCCATAAAGCCACAACTTGAAAATTTGTTTTTAAAATAATAATAAATTATATAAATAAAACATGTATGAAATGGTTTTAAAGGTTGGAGTGGAAAAAATATTGTCATTTTTCAACTTTTGTTATTTAAAGTTATTTTATTATTTTGTTTTATAAGTGCATGAGAAGACCTTCTGGGGCAGTAAGCCTTCTTTTTCCTCAGATTGTAAGATAGTTAGGCTATTGATTAAAATGAACATATGTGTTACCTATTTTAAAAATTCAGCGGAAACACCAACTCTTTTAAGAGATTTATCGAGCATTAAAAAAACAGAAATATTTGTATTGTGTGTATTGTGCGACAAGTGGTAGAAAGAGAAGATTCCTCCAGTGTACAGTTAGTTAACACAAGAGTAAAACTTTCTCTTTCGACCAATATTCGGACACAATATTTTATTCAACTACCGCAGTGTACTATAATTATAAACAATTAAAGAGCTAAAACAATTATGGCGGAAGAATTTAGGGCCAATTTTATTTAATATTTTATCTGACATTTGACATATATCAGACAGTTTTCATTTTTTACCAATTTTATTATTATTATTATTATATTTCTTGAGGTTATGAATATCTTTTTTTTTAATATTCCTGCAATCCGTACTGCCTAATACGAACCCTGGAAAAAATTATAATCGATTGCCTTTAAATATTATTATAAAATTATATTATAACTTTTGACTAAAAAGAATAAAAAATGTAACCGAGTTTTCCATAATTTTATAGTCAAATATAAACTAAAAAATCTTATACATAAAAAGTTTTTTATAATAAAATAATAACATAGCTAGGCAAAACATGTGACAGTATCCCAGAAAATAAAATGTGCTGCTAGAATATTTAAAATGCACCGTGGAAAATCGTAAGCTTAATAAATTAATTTTACCAATTTTCACAGTACCTTTCATATGTTCCGTGTAAAGTTACAAAAAGCAATTTTATGTACATACCATAAAAAATATAAAGGTGGATATCCCTGTATATTTTTTTCAGTCAAAATTAAACATTTAATAGGACTCTCACACGTTAACAAAGTGATGTAAAAATTTAATTGGTACAAGAAATTTCCTCTACAATGAAAAAACCTTCTCGTCAAAAGCCGGAAAATCGATTTTACAATTTCCTTCCATATCCGTGCAATTACATAAACTTTTCAATTATGCAAAATTCTAGGTATGCATCATAGACTATGCTTCCGCAATTTTAAATATTAATTGTGCGTTTTACAAAATGCTACAAAAATACATTACAGGTGAATATTACAGGAAAATATTACACAAAAAATTCAGTCCAGTCAAATATGCCTTGGAAAACGTCCTAATTTTTGTTTTAAATGGTTATGAAATATTTAAAATAATAAAAATATTTAGTTTAATGTTTTGCCATTATTCTGTTCTGTGAAAAAACTATTACCTATTTTTTTGAAATTAATTCAAATAATTATGTAGATACACAAATTAACAAATTCACAAATAAAAAATGTCTAAAGTTATAAAATAGTACTGTTCAAAGCAAATAAGATTTTTTTAGGAGTAATAAATAAATATTGTTATATTGCAGTATTAATTCTTAATAATACAAATTATATAAAAATAGTATATTATTAACCGAGCGTGGAAATACTCCCGAAAATGAAAGTTGGGATTCATTGAGATTCAACGCGAGGTAAACACTGTACTTTTGTCGAGTGGAATACATAATTTGGGTAACCGCAAAGAAACTTGTGTCAAAATTAAAGTCTGACGTTTAATTTAATTCTGACGTTTATGTTTGACGTTTATGAAAATTTTTATGTTCTATACGATAAAGAAGCATCGGGTTTTAGCAAGGCGCGTGCCATCTGGTGGTGTTCAATAGCATTGTATGAATTTAAGAATTGTCAACAATACATTTGAAGCATACGAAATCCACATCATTTTTAAAATAGAAATATAGAATTTATGTACTCATATTTATAAATGAACGCAAACGCAGACTTAACGAAAACGGAACGGAAGACTTGGTCAACTTTTACCTTTTCCGTTGCGTTTGTTGCGTCCGGCCAATCAAAAGAGATAATTATGTGTGCATAGCGGGTTGCCTTACTATGCTGTCACTTGTTTGACATTATTCTAAAAATGTTAGCAAATAGAAAGAATAGTACAAAGAACTCATCTCATAAGACGTCCATTACAATTATCCTCGTGGGAAAAAATTACGTATAATTTGTAGGTTATCCATCGCACAACTATAGTATTATACAAATTGTATAAGCATGCCCCAAAATTCCGTTCCGTCAATATATAAATTGAATACTTTTTTACAGTCCGTTTTATACGTATCCAGTGCGTCTTCGTTAAGTCTACGTCCAACTATAAATCCAGCTTAACTCGACAAATTTTGTTTAATTGCACAGGTAAATCGCGCACGTTATTTGTGTTTTGCGTTGTAAGTAAAAACTAAAAAACTTTGTTTTATTACTTGATTTCGATTTATTATAATTCCTTATAACATTGATTACATTAATAACATTGATTAAGAAATTCCACACATATATGCACGTGCAAAATAATCGATCCACACAAATTTTCGATGAATTTCAATCGCAAATAACTTTTTTATTTGATGTCGGATTTAAACGAATATTAAAGAATATTGTAAATAAATTAATGGACAATCGCTCACATGTAAAAAAAAATACTAAAAAATAGACATACGTTTATAATATACAGGTTTAAACAAAAAGATGTTTTTTACCATAAGTTTAAGAGACTAAGGTTGCTATGGTCCATTCATAGGCTATGGAGAATGACAGTGACAGTTTTGTTGAATCATCCCATACTTGGACAATGTCCAATGGACATGTCATACACGGCTTTTAAAAGCTATCAAATTGTTTTTTGCAAATTAATATTTAAATTTTGAGGTGTCTTCTTACTTTATAAAATGGATATGTCTCCGACTGATGTTGCCAGAGCTATTAATTTAATCCAGGATGGACGGTCACAGTATTACGTGGCAGGTGTTTTAAACGTCATAAGAAGACACACAAAATTAACACATTAATTTACAAAAAACAATTTGATAGCTTTTGAAAGCTGTATATGCCATGTCCAAGTATGGGATGATTCAACAAAACTGTCACTGTCATTCTCCATAGGCTATGGATGGACCATAGCAATCTTAGTTCTTCATACAGGAAAAATATTGGGAATTGTAATGTTTTTTAAAAAAATCCATATTTTCCACAAAAATAAATATTTTGAGGTGAACCAAAAACAAAACTGTTAAGAATAGATGTGACTTGATAAATAAATTTAGAACAATATACGGTTTTGCCACTCTACAGAGTGTATTAAACTTATGGTAAAAAACATATTTTTGCTTAAACCTGTATTATAAACGTACGTCTATTTTTTAGTATTTTTTTTAAAATGTGAGCGATTGTCCATTAATTTATCTACAATATTCTTTAATATTCGTTTAAATCCGACATCAAATAAAAAAGTTATTTGCGATTGAAATTCATCGAAAATTTGTGTGGATCGATTATTTTGCACGTGAGTGTAGTTACGATAGTGTGTTTATTTTTTGTAAGTGATCATGGTGAATTATTGTATTTTTAATTGCAAATAAAATTTAAAACGTATGTTTGATGGTGCAACTTTATCTAATATAATTTATATTTAAGTT